GGGGGGGGGGGGGGGGGGGGGGGGGGGGGGGGGGGGGGGGGGGGGGGGGGGGTCGCTCCAGGGAAAGCCTAATACAAGATTCGCAGTTGTGCCATCACGCACTTCCGGTTTCACATTCTGACGTCTACAACAAGGGGGGGTCGCCGCAGTGAACGTCTAGCACAAGACACGTCCGTTTGTCTTGGAACACGTTTTGCTATCACACGCTGCCGTCTTCACGTTCTTGAGTCCACAATTTTGCTGTGATCTCCACGCGAAACAATTTGTTTACGAATAAAAAATATCAAGGCAAGCACCACGTGGAAACAGGAAGGTGAAACAAACCTCCGATGTGACATTCCTCCTGTATTTTTCCCGTCTGGAGCGTTCAAACATGCCAAAAACACATGCACCGCTGACGTCGAAGCATGCGTAGACTGACGCCTAGAACATGCGGGGTGACAACACTCACACTTTCGTGTTGTCCACCACGACAACTGTTGACATGCAGGCGTGTACTTTGGCATGATTGGCGCCATCAAGACATCTATCCTGCCTGCACCGGCGGGTGTCGACAAGGCGACCAAGAGGGGCTACGATTTCGTGTCGGGGATGGTGGGAGGCACGCTGGCGACGATAGCCAACACGCCGTTTGACGTGGTGCGTGGAAGCGAATGTCTGCAGCAAAGACAAGAACGGCTGTAGCTTAGGACAATAACATCTGTTTCTATAAGACGAGAACGTCAGGAGCTAAGACAAGAAAGCTTAAGAAAAGCGCGTCTGTAGCTTAAGACAAAAGCGTCTGTCGCTTAAGACAAGAACGTCTGTAGCATAAGACAAGAAGGCACGGAAGTTGTGGAAGTGGTCAATTGTAGTAGCCGTAGACACGATGACGCAAAAACGAGAAGTGCTGTGTTCGTCAGGCAACATTTTGTTTTCTGCTCCCTCTTGCTATTTTCGCCATTGGGCCTTGTCGCCTTGATTGGCTTCTCAGGTGAAGTCGCGAATGCAGAACCAGCTCAAGGTGGAGGGCCAAATTCCCAAGTACAAGCATACGATCCCGTCCCTCATCACAGTCGTGAGCGAGGAGGGATTGGCAGCCGTGTACAAGTGAGTCGAGTGGTTTCTGGATCCATCAGCTTTGTAAGCGTACTCAATGGACACACACATTATGTAGTACTTCGTAGTTGTTGTTTTGGTTGTTGTTAGTGTTGGTGTTGGTTTCGTCTTGTATCCTTGCTGTTGTTCTTGCCTCCACACTAATAACCGCTGTTATTCTTGCCTTCACACCTATACCCGTTTCGGTCTTCGCTTAGCACCGTATACATCCGTACCGGTCCAACTGACGCGACGCCTTCCGTGGTGACAGACCAACTAGCCGCTGCTCTGGAAGTAGTAAGTGTTTTTGTTTTTGTTTTGTTGGTTGTTTTTCTGTGGTGGGAAGACACGTTTGTTGTATGCATGTCCCGCCCGTTTCCGTGTCCGCCATTTCCGCATGGCACGCCGGGCATTTTGCCTCGCTGCTGTCACTCGCGCTCACCCGCAGCCATTTGAGCCGCTGTCACATGCATCTTTCGTCGCGTTGCTACACATCTCGTGGCGGCGCTTCACACGCCCACCATCCATCTCCGTCTCGATTGTCTTCTTTGCTTATCGTTCGTTGATCGGATCGACAGGGGCATCGGCCCACGGCTCGTCCGGCTAGGTCCTGGCGGCGGAATCATGCTCGTGTCCTTCAACGCCATCTTGGACCTACTCAACGACTTATGACCAGGGGATAGCGCTGACGAGACACAGCAGCAGCCGCTAGCTGTGTGGTTGGTAGCTTTGCGAGTAGGTGCGTGTCGAGATCGACCGGCGGAAGTTTCTTCTGGAGGCGTTTTTTACCGTTAGCAACGCTGCTCTTTGTGCCTTGAAAGGTGCTGCTTGGACGAAAGAATGGCGGTGCTTATAGAGTGGTAGAGAACGCCTGCCAGTGTTTGGTTCTGCGAATAGTTAGCTGGACATCGGCTTTTCGATATATTATGCGCTCTATAGGACAAAATTAGTCTCTTGGACGAAATTTTGGTGTTGTGATTCGTCCGGGTGGCGCCAGTTATGATATGCTCTTGCAGTTTGATGGCGGGCGACCTCGTGTCGTGGGTTGCACTGACCGAGTGATACGTGTATGGTTCGGTGTGTTTTTTTTATGGTCAATGGTACGAAATGGGTTTGTTTGTTGACAACACACTCACGCCATTGCTCATTTTGAAAAGGCGATGTTACTCATTTTCAAGATGGCACTGCGTTGCTGATCGTCCTTGGTCTGTGGGCTAGTCCAGATCTTGAACGTATTCTTTCATGAGTCGGCAGGCAGTTCAGCAGTATGTTGCCAAGGTCAAATACCCGCACGGTCTTACGTAATACAACCGCAAGCGTACGTTGTAAAGTAACTGGATGTGTTTTTGGAGTATTTTGATACTTCGTCAAGTTTGTCAGTTTTGCCGCCCCCCATCCCCCCCCGGTTTTTGCCATCGGGGTTGGGTTTTCGTCGCTTGGCAACGACGTTGTTAAACAAGCCAATTCACTTCGTGTACTCGGCAACCAGGTTACCGTTCTTTTTTTTTACCTCTGGTTTCTCTTNGTGTTAAAATGGTCAAGCACCCTCGAGGCAGTTACACAGTGCTTACAACTGTCTCTGGAAGTGAAAGCACCAGAAAATAAACTAAGTCATACGCAGCTGTCATCCGTATGCAAGGAAGTGATAAGCACAAGATGCCCACCCTTAGCAGGATGCAGCGCACCCTTCATGCGACTCGCCGAATATCTCACGGCGCTTCGCGCTTGGTGATGTGAGAGCCTGGTCCGGTGAGAACCCGGCGTGCTCCGTCCCGGCTTTGTAGGGATGCGAGGTCAATGGTCTAACGACTACGGCATGCACGACTATGAGTACACCCCCCCCGCCCGGTGTTTTTGGTGTTGAACATGGCGCGTTCCAATTTACGAGTTCATGCGAATCACGTTATTTTGTTTGCGACCCTTTTGAGTATGGGTCGTTTACACGCGCAACGTGCGCAGTGTGTGTGGTGCATGTTGTACAATAGGAAAGCAGTTCCTTCTGAGGCATCCACAAGCGAAACGCCTTCTTCCGTTTTTGGTTGCACCGCTACCTGTACCAATGTTGTTTCGGTTGTCTTTGTGATGTGACTGGGGGTAGGGGGGGTGATGAAGCGATCGCGATATGGTGTGGTTGGGATTTTGTGTTTGAAGCGCTTATAGTTTTGTGTAACGGCGGTAGCACGTTGAAAAGCCTTTTGGTATTTATTCGGTGAACAATACCCGAGTGACTGGTTTGATGTTAACCAATCACATGGAAGATTTCGCGTGAGGGACTGTTGTCCAAACCCGACTTCGTTGCTAATAATCCTCATTGACGCAGTAGCATGCATGTGGTGGAATCCCGCGTGCCCTTCACTCTTTCTTTGGGTGGGATACATCTACATACCTCCACAGAGAAGGAAGGATATCAATGGCGACACGGCGACGTCGGAAAGGGCCGACAGTCAGCTTTTATGGGCGCTTGGACCGATCCTCCGGGGGTTCACATGATGATATTTATTGATTATTTATTGATTATTTATTCAAGGCTTTGACATCAACAGCAGTGCAGGCAGCACGCAAGGAAAATTCGTGTGACTTTCTTTCGAGGTGATTCGAGTTCACGTCCCACTTTTTCGAGAGAACGCTGTTCATGCTGCCAATTGAACCATTGGGGCGATCGAACGACAGCCACGACGTAGTGCTCTCGGACAGGATTTCACTTCTTGTTACGTTGTGGACTCGAAGAGGCCCCGCGCACTTCCTAGGGACACCCTCCACCACCTCCCTATGATAAGATATTCGGTAATTACCTCCGAAAAAATCGCGCAAGGTGTTTTGACCAGTCAGAAAACTGCGGCCATTTCCTTCCCCTGAGAGTTTTCGGCGCGGCACCTTTGTCGATATGACCCTTTACTCCACCGGCAGCAGCACTCTTTGGGTTGAGGATGATGAACGAGGAAAATCGACAAAGTGAAGGTGGTGGTAATAACGTCAAAAAGCGAAAGGAAGTTTCGTCAGCCGAGGGATCGACAAACCCGTCGATCCAAGATTTTCGACACCAACCGAACGAAAGAGGAAGATGACAGACAAGCGAGCCTGGCCCCAGTAACAAAGGCCCGAGCAAATATGGCACAGACTTACTGACATGTCTACGAACGGCAAAGGTCCCTGTTGTAGCACACGGCAAACGAAACAAAGTCAAATCCTGACAAGAAAACTCTCGTCCACAAGCGTTTGTGGCGCGAGCTCTGCTTCTGTCTGCTGCGGGCAAAAGCAGTGCTCCGACCGCAAGAAAATCTTCATCACGAGCAATGATCCGAAGTTTTCTCTGGATCACTTCGCTGCCTTCCCGACCCCATCCCTACTTCGCTGTACACCCTGGTACGCTACAACCAAGGGGAGAGAAGCACCACATCCCATCAATCGTTCATCTGTGTATCTTTCTTCCTAATTCAATGTCGTTTCCCGCCGAACGTTTCGAAACGTTTCCGCAAGAAGACTTCCGCCCACAAGCAACACCAGTGACAACGACCCTTTTTACGCGCCTGTCTCCGGACCAAAAGCCAAAAATAAACAGAACAGAATCCTCGTAGATACACCCACCGTAGCGTGCTTCTCTCGAAACCTAATAAAGACGCTCTCTCCATTCCATCATCATATCGCCGCCTCAGTCTCCACGCCATCTAGGGGCTCTTCTTCCCCAAACATCTCGTCATTCGCCGTGTCGACGGCCGCGATGGCGTGCATGAGCACGTACACGGACGCGCGCTGCTTGTCACTCGACTGCTCGCAAGGGTTAGGCTCGCCCCGGTCCTCCCCACCGCCGCCGCCGCCGCCGCCGTCGCCGCCTCCTCCCTCCCCCCCTTCATCCTCTCCCTTGAGCTGCTCCAGCGCCTGGTCGATCGAGAACTTGGTTACGACGTCGTTGATGGCCTTGCTCCCCCGGCGTGGGTTCGGCAGCGGCATCTCTCGGCCGGCGGCGGCGGCCTCCCCGCCCGGCCTCTCCTCGGAGACCTTGTGCGGCATGAACCCCTCCCTGTTCACACCGGTCCCGCCGCCGCCAGCCTGCGGCTCGGTGGACGACGATGAAAGAGACAACGCCGCTCCTACTGCCGCCGCCGTCGATTCCTGCGTGTTCTCCTCGGAATCGCTAGTCTCGGGCAGACCGCTAGCGAGGCAGGTGAGCGCCTGGACCACGCTCGGGCTAGCCGCAACCTTGGCGTTCATCCGAGCCTCCGACATTCTCCGCCCGTGTCTCCCCACCCCGCCTCCTCCTCCTCCTCCTCCTCCTCCCGCCCCCACCGGACCCTCCCTCCCGGAGGGAAAGCGCTCCGCCATCTGCGGACCCCCTCTCGCCCGCTTAAGGTTGAAGCTGCCGGGGCCCACCTCGTTGCTCGCGTCCTGCGGAGCCCCCATCCCGCCAGCAGCCTGCCTGCTGCTACCGCCGCCGCCGCCGCCGCCGCCGCCGCCTACGTTGCCGGCCATCCCGTACTCCCCATAGCTCTCAAAGTCTTCTGGAGCGGTGCGCTTGAAGGTGACGCGGTTGCCGCTGCCGCTGCCTTCCCGCGAGGGGAACGCGCCCTCGAGGCTGCCCGGCGCAGAGGGCATGGGTGGCGGTAGCGTCCAGCCCGGCGTGTTGGTGATCATTCGGTTCGACTCTCCCTCGTCGAGCATGTCCTGCAGGTAGTAGGCCAGCTCCGTCACAGACGACCGGCGCTTTTGGGCGAGGTAGGAGCAACGGCGGCTTCTCGATTCTCCCTCCGCGCCCTGCTGAGCCGGCGAGCAGGGCGGCCAACAGAAAAGACAAGTTGAATTCATGAACGTGCTGTGTTGCATGTCAAACGACTTCTTGGTGCCTGTCGATGAGCGTCACCTCGTGACGATGACGACGACGACGACGACCGGGAGATGGATCAGAGTCTCGATGTTGTGATTGGCCAACAGACCACGTCAGACCGACCACACCGAAAACTCAGAAACATAGATTGGACAGCACCGCACGTGAACGTCCAGTAGACCGCCGCCCAATGACCGCACAGACGAGGGGAGAGGAACAAGGCACAGACGCCCTGGTACAAACGAAAATTGGCGAGAATGAGATTGAGAATCTCTCCAGGCGAGCCACCAAAACAAAACAAACAAACAAAAAGAGGACGGGCGGGCGTTGAAACAGCTGGTCACCACCACGAGACCGACACAATCCCAAACATATCAAGAAGTTGCTTGTGCACGGGCACTATCACGTCACCGGCCCGCACTCGACCTGGGCTGCGGCTCTCGCACCAGCAGCACGCCTCACGCAAGACGCACCTGCTGTAAGGACGGGTCTTCCTCGAGGACTTGAGCGATGTTCACCATCTGCGCGCAGAAGGAGTTGCGCTGCCCGATGGGCGTGTACATCTGCGTCGTCGGCCGAGCGTTCGGTGATCGCCCACCCGCGGAGGGCAAAAGCGGGGGGAGGCGAGGTCAGTCAAGCACGTACGTGCTTCTGAGGTCCGTCTAATCTTCTATCAACGCGAAGAGTGTTCGCGTCTCTCTCTCTTTCTTTTCCTGGAACGGACGTAAGAGCCCAATATCGCTGAGAGAGAAAGACACACCGAAACTGATTTATTAGTGGTATGCAGCAAGAGGGGTGCACACGAACAGTTGCCGCTGCCTAAAACATTTTGAAGTTCATCCTCCGAGAACGTGTTCCGCAAGTGAGCCAGCCGAGAGCAAGGCACCGCAACGTGACACATGCACGTGCTGCCTTGCGTTGTCCCAGCGACATGACATGAAACCCCTTGTACCAGAGGTATGCATGTGACACCATCCCCCAAAACTGCGGGCTTGGCGGCAGCACATTCGAGCTTTCTCCAACCACGCGAGGAGTTAGAGGCGGCGTGGTGGCTGCTGTAGTATCTCTCCCGCACCTCGAATTGTACGCAAACGCCCCCCCCGCCCGCCTTCCCCGGCCGTTCCACAAAAAAAAAACATTTCGGTCACCGCCCGAAACTACTATACATGTATGTTAAATATGTACAAGGAAAACGCACCTCCTCAGCCAGGGGGGCCTCCAGAGTGTGCTCCAGGTTCTCCAGCAGCCGGCTCAAGCTCAACACCATAGGCGTCTGCCCCGGTCGGAAGTCCCCCATGCCTCTCGCCGACGACCCCACCTCTTCAACCGTGGGGGCCCCCATCGGCATTCCCTCTTCCCGCCCGCCGACCGCTGCAAGCGGGGGCATATACCCCAAGCTACCAGCATCGCCGCCGCCGCGCGCGTCGTCGTGGGGCGACGACTGTTCCGCCATTGGCGAGGCTCCGCCGAAGCGGTGCTGCATCTGATGTTGCTGCTGCATGTACTGCGGCTGCTCTTGGCGGTGCTGCTGCATGTGCGGCTGCGGCTGCTGGGCAGAAGAGCGGTCCACGTTGCCAGACGAAGACGCCCTCAAGAAGGGCGACTTCCCCCCTCCCCCGCCCTGCTGCATGCCTCCCCCCCCCCCGGCGGGTACTGAGCCGCCGGCGCCGGCCGGCGCCGGCGACCGGCTGGACCCAAACATCTTCGACAAGCCTCCCGTCCGGGAATGACCAGGCAACTTCGACCCGCCAAGCCCCCCCCCCCCCCGCCGCCCAAGTCCCCCCCCCCCCTCCCTACGTCCATCTCCGCGGGAGGTGGAGGCAGCCCCCTGGCAGCATCCATCTCCGGCATCCCAACGACAACTCCTCCCGGCCCTCGCGAAGAGTCCCCCCCCGGAACCCCCTGGATGTGGGCCTGGGCCGCCTGGAGGTGGTGCACTGCTGCCGCCGCCGCCGCCGCTGCCGCGTGGCTGCCGGTGCCGGCCCCGTCCCCCTGGATCTGCGCGCGCGCCGCGCCTAAGGCTGCGGCGGACATGTGCATCTCCCCCAGGCGCATGTGGGTGGCAACGTCGGTGGGCTGTTTCGCACGGACGGTTCGTCGTGTACAACATGCAACCGAGCGGAGTGAGGAAACACAAACGCAGGATTTTCTGTATGCAGAAAGTGGTGAAAAGGAGCTTGTTGGGCGTGTTGCAAGAAGCAGGACATGTTCCAAGGGAAACAGAAAAAGACCTGGCGTATGTGTTGAGAGCGCTCACATAGAAGGTGACGTAGTAAACCCGGCCTGATGCTCATGGATAGCTATGGCTTCGGTGGCAGCGTCTGCTGCAGCTCAGGTTAACCACCGTGGGGCTGACTGAGTACTCTTACTGTACCCGTCACTTCAGTTGACCGTAGCCACCCATAGCGACCTTCATAATCGCTGCGGGTCTGTCTTATCAACCGCTACTGCTGTACCCATCACTTCAGGACCCTACAAACCCTTAGTGACGTTCTTCATCGCACCAAACCAACCTGGGCCAAAACAAACACGGGTGGGAGTACTGTACACGAGAATTGATTGCCCTCGCCGTAGCAAGCTAGCTTTTTGGGGTCACCCCGACCCCGTCTGCCTGCTGCTCAAAATCCCCTCCTCGTCTGCATACCCCCCCTTTCAATCTCGTCTGCATACCCCCTTCCCTCCCTCACCCCGAGGCTCTTCTCCCAGTGACCTCTGGCCTGCACCACTAGCTCGGGCTCCGAATCGCTGCCCTCTTCCTGGCTCATGAACCTCGGCCCGCTGCCGTAGATCTTGCGGCTGTAGCACGGGGGACATGGCGGCACGACCCCCCTCTTCACCTGGGCATGCATGACGTCATGCAGTCAGCGGGCGTGGGAACGCATGATAGAGGATGGTTGTACATGTCTGCTGTCCGGAGGTGTTGGCTCGGTAGGGTTTTCTTTGAAAAAAACAAAACAAACGGTTGGGGAACGGAGATACCAAAGGGTGATGGGTGCTGTACCGACCCCCCGGTGGACAATGCTGTGCACCGCTTGGAAGAAAACCTCACGTCCGAAATGACGGTGGGAGCAGCAGTAACGTTGCTCCTCCTGGACCTCGAGACAAACGTCTTTCGTCTCTTGTTCGCGTTTGATCGTCCGATGGAAACACCAAACTTGAGCCGGAACATGCATCATGATAACCCTAAGGCGCTTTCCTGTGTAGTACTTTGAGTGTATATACATATGCCTCAAAAAATCGATCCAGCTCCGAGTGGCCACATCAAGCAGATACAGTGCCGGAAAGTGTGAGCCCGAATACGGGTGCTTTGAAAAAAAAAAGAACCTTCTTCAACAAATTGAGCGGAACCAAAATATTCGTGAGAAAGCTCTCGCCAGCAGCGATCGAATAAGCCTATCCACAGCGCGGGGTTTTCGTTTTTGAGAAAGATATGGCTCCTTTACCATCAATGCAGAAGGCACTTCATCCCACAAGAATCGCCATGTCTCAACAACTACGGCGAACCCCGCAAAAAAAATTGCAGATTTGCAAAGCTCTCTTTCAGAAGTATTTTACTGCGGCAGAACCATACCCGAGCGTGGTGAAGAAGAACTTAAAAAAAAATCAAAATCCTGTGAACAAAAAAAAGAAGCATTTCTCCAGATTCTTCACCTTGAATTTTTGTCGTGGGGCAATATGATGATAACTCAAGGAGTAATTGAGCAATTCTGGAAAAGATTACAGGAAAATGACCGTTAGTGTTACATGTATATAAGGGCACATGTCCACCTAGCGGTTTCAGTTTGTTTTCGTGTGCAATGGCATACATGTCGTTCGCGCCGGCGCCCACGGCAGGTCCAACACCCCGGTTCGAGTCCAGCAAGCATTCTCTCTAGTCTTTTTTTCCTGATCATATTTGTGTTTTATGTTAATTTTTCCATACGTTTATCTTGAAAAATGTATGCAATTTTCTTCGACCTCATCAAAAAAAATTTGGTCACCGCGTCTTGTCGGTGCCATCACGGGCAATACGCACGTGAAAATAGTGTCGAAAACCATGACTTTAGTCAAAAGTTATGGCCGGTCAACCAAAATCGGTCTCACACTTTCCGGCACTGTATCCACACAGAGGAGAACCGGAACGAGTCCATGGCCGCAACCTCGGCTGGCGGACAAGAATGATGGAAAAGGCAAACCCTGCAAGCGTAGCGTAGCGCACCTCCGTCAGCTTCTCCGGGCTGTCCCGCAGGAATGAAGGGTGCATATAGCACCCAGACTCGCGGCCCTTAACCACCTTGCGGAAGCCGTAAAGGTTGAGCTGCCTCTGGAAGCTGCTGAACTTGTTGTCTGTTTTGCGTCGGGGTCGTGGGAACAAAAACGCGACGTGACCAAATCGCCAGGGCAGGGACGACAGCAAGGAGGAGTCTCGCATATTATCTGGGATAAATTTCTTTGTGTGTGTTTGGTGCCAAACACTGCTGCTCATTTGTATATCAAGAATCAAAAGCGAGTTATGAGAACAGCGTCGAACAGGGTCAAAGATAACAGGCCGAGAGGGGACACGTCCAAGAGGGACTCGGTTAGCATCACCTCACAGCAACTGGAACGTAAAACAGGTCTACAGGTGGAGCAGCAGCTCTTTCCAAGGACAGCATCACTTTGCACAAGGGTGGTCGATGAATAGTTCCGCACGGGGAATGGAGGGGGGTAGCATCGTTATTTTGCGTCTGTTTCAGGCCTAATTCCGACAAGCATAATTTAAGACAGCGGGAAACACACATGAGACACTTCACGAGCAGCAACACATGTGCGCAAAGCCAACACGAAAGCGTTTCGTGTGTACTCACGCTTGAAGTAGCACGTGAGCACGTCCTGTCGAAACGACGCCATGTCGCGGATTCCGAAGGCGGTGCCCGTGCTGGTCCACATGACAATCGACGGGGACTCTTTCTGCAGGACACGACAAGACGGAAACCGACCGGAGAACATCGGTGTTAACACCAAAAACCGTTCCGATTTCTGCTCGGGTACAGTATTCAGTTACCACCAGCAGCTAAGAACCGCTTGTTTTGCCCAGGCTGGAGTTAATGGTTCCTACGGTATGGACTCATCCGAAAATCACTCCGCGAATGATTGTTGAGTGCTTTGTAGTTCTTTCTATGCAACTCACAAACAGCAAGCGAGCCAGAGCCATGTCGAACGCGTACTCGCAGGCACGCATGACTGCTGCGTGCTCTACTTGTCTTGTTCAATTTTTGGGAGTCTTTTATCTCCTGAAGACAACAATCGCTGTGTGTGTGATATCCACACGCCATGATCCTTACAGCTGTATAACACAGTACTCTCGATCATTTAACAAGCAGTTCGAAGCACAGGTCTATTCCGCGTCGCTGTCAGAGATACGTGCAGACACCAATTGTTGACTTGCCGTGTACCTTGAGAGACGACAGGTGATGGGAGACATGTTGAAAACGGGGCATGGCTTCCCCGAAATGTACGCGCAGGTCTTGGTCGTAGAGACGGGAGATATGAGCATTTCAGGCATCATAGGATTTCATGTTTTGGGGCCATCATCCAGAAAAAAATAATATTCCATAGCATCAAAAGAAGTTACAATGTTCCCGCTCGAGATATACATAACCCACGTTCGAACTGTGTCAGGTTTTCGACTTTCCTGGAAAGCGTTCCCTGTTCACGGTTGCTGTTCCGGAGGCACGCCATTCCTTGACAACGGTTTCAAGACATCCCTCTTCACACTCGACCTCCTCCTGTATGTATAAAACCACACGAATACTGCTGTAGATCGTGTGCACACCATGCCTGCGTAGATTGAAGAAGCTTTGCGTGTGGTGCCGATCTCAATCTTTACCATACTGCTGTTGTCTACATAACCACGTTTTGATATGGTGCCCGGTGCTCGCTACAGAAAGCGGTGGGTTGTTAAAAAAGGACTTCATGATACCTACCGCGGAGTTGTTCTCACGGGTATATATGTGTAGATATCCATCCCATGACGGTTGATGTCGGAGGTCTTGAATGTGTAACGCATCATCACGTGCGCATAGCGTTTCATGTTCGGGCGTGGCGTCGATCACTGAGTTGCGATGTCGCTCTTACGAATGTGCGCAGGCTAGCCACCGTACGGGAAACGTGTTGCAGAAAGTGTCTTCGGTCGGATGTGGCCCCCATCATTACACACAAGGTTCGATGGACGCCATGTACAAGGCTATCATGGCATGTTTCAGTATCGATTCGCATAGAGGTCTCGTTGGCCTTGAAGTCGGGTTTAGAGCAGGTAATGCAGTGCTATGCGCTGGCCTTACGCGCCCAAAAGATGTACGGCATCGATTTCGACGAGTTGCTGCTCCACGTATATTTTGGAGCAGGTTATGCAGTGCTATGCGCTGGCCTTACGCGCCCAAAAGATGTACGGCATCGATTTCGACGAGTTGCTGCTCCACGTATATTTTGGAGCAGGTTATGCAGTGCTATGCGCTGGCCTTACGCGCCCAAAAGATGTACGGCATCGATTTCGACGAGTTGCTGCTCCACGTATATTTTGGAGCAGGTTATGCAGTGCTATGCGCTGGCCTTACGCGCCCAAAAGATGTACGGCATCGATTTCGACGAGTTGCTGCTCCACGTATATTTTGGAGCAGGTTATGCAGTGCTATGCGCTGGCCTTACGCGCCCAAAAGTGTATTAAATACGTGGAGCAGCAACTCGTCGAAATCGATGCCGTACATCTTTTGGGCGCGTAAGGCCAGCGCATAGCACACTGCATTACCTGCTCCAAACCCGACGTCAAGGCCAACGAGACCTCTATGCGAATCGACACTGAAACATGCCATGATAGCCTTGTACATGGCGTCNGGGGGGGGTTCGACTACACTACAGCCTACTGCCGTGTCTCAGTGCTGCACGACTGAAACAAAAAGTAGGCAAAAAAAAGCTTCCAACGCGAAAGCAACCCCCGTGGAAACCCTTAAAATCAGGCGGCTCACTCGGCAACAGACCGCTGCACCTAGCACCGGCTTGAGAGGGCGAACGAGAGGCTAAACTGTCCAGTTTTCAAGAGAGTTATGTGAACAAGATGCCAGGGCACATTAGGGTATGTTTTATATGTCCAGTTACGCACGGTAGGGCGAAAAAGTTGGACTTGAGCTAGAGCGTACCACCATGCAGCAGCTCCAAAATGAGGGAGGGAGCGTCACTCACGAACCGACCTCTGTGCGAGGTAGTTGTTTTGCAGCCTAATTATGCTGCCGCCATGTACCTAGGATGGATTGCCACGTAATGCAAAGGTTTGAGGCGATTATGTGTGGCAGGGGATAAGCATGGTGTGTTCAAATTCAAACATCGGGAGAGTCCACGCCTTGGGTCCGAACGCACCCTCTTGCACGTTGCGCATGTAGATCCACTGGATACACCATTCCCACCCCAAGATACGATGGAAATACCCGATACAATATTTCCACCCCAGTGTCAGGCTATCACGACAAGTTTCAGCCAATTTGGGATTCAAGAGGGGAAGTACGATTTCTCCAAGTTCAATAAGTCTCGGTTTGTTGCCAGTACGAGCCGAACATGACCCACGGCGCTTGGTACAGACACTCCAAGACCGTGACAGAATGCGGCCGCAGCATCTCAGAGGCACGTATACAATCTACGTAGTTCGACAGGTTTCAGTCCGTGACATTGTCAGGTGAATAAGCATGTCCGTGCAGAGGATCAAATCTCATGCATGGCTGTCAAGAGGCAACGAAGATCCCAGACCACGAAAAGGCATGCACCTACGTAAGCTGTACGTACAATGTAACATTGTAATCATTTTTGTACACCCTGGTCAGGCGCTTCGTGCATGGAAACACGATCAGCATAGGTCGAGCTCCTGCCAGATGAACCGTCGGAGACGTACATGTAGGCGGGGTCAACAGGCTTGTGGGGTGAACAGCCCAATAGCTCAACCGGGTCACCACCGGCGGTGGCTCGGAACCAGGCTGGGAGCCCTACTACACCCGGAAGCGTCGGTATGCAGCCGATACTAACCCTTCGCCAGCTCACGGAAGGCACGCTAACCACGCGTCAACCAGTGTTAAACAACACAGGGGGAGACGTCACAAGTGAAAGTCCACCGAGCGGGAGCAGGAGAGAGGGCAACCTAACCACCTCGGTGCGCGCACCCCCATCGCCGCGACAAAGCGCGACGCGGGAGATTCCGGAGCGCGTGTCCGTCGGACGGGAGGAAAGATCCGGTCGGGCAGGAAACGGAGGAGGAGGAGGCCCTCTGATAGTGTTACGGGTGGGTGTCTACCCAATCTTGAGAGCAAGCTCGCGGAGGAGGAATACTACAGGCAGCAGAGCCAGGCGAGGAGGGAGGCAACGGCTCGTTGAGATCGCGCCATTGCCGAAGACGAACGGCGACAGTCAGAGGCCAGGGGGAATAACGCCGTTGATACTCGGCGTAGGAGTCACGGCGGGAACCCAAGACATGCCACTCATCAGCCAGGCAAGCGGAATGCGGGTAGGAGACTTTCTGCCCCGGGGGTGCTACCTGTAGGCCAACCAACAAAGAAGGAGCGAAGAAAGGCGTGCGATCGTCGGGAACGCGGATGGGTTACACACAACCCACCGAGTGTAGCACATGCCCACACAGTGTAGTGCCCTCGGCCGACGAGAGATAATGTTAGGCATGCCACAGATCTCCGAATGACCCTCCGCGCGGACCGGTTAGGGCGAGCAGTAGCCTTCGTGGTCGCGTGGACGCAAGGAGAGAAAACCCTGCCTCTGGCTCTCGTGCGAGACTTTAGACCCAGCAAGGACTGCCTCTGCCAACGCCCAGACTGCTTCCTAGCTTTTTTCGCCAAGGAACAAAAGAAGGTAGAGTTTCGCCAATGCGGTAATTGTGGGTACCGGAAACCGGACAAGAGTCGCGTCAGGCGGTATCCCATGGATGCTGCAGGAGATCATGTCGAGAAGGGGACCGCGGGGATAATCGACTACTTCAAGAAGCAGCTGCTGTCGAAGTGGTTGAAGTCGACGGAGCTCCTCGTGGTGTGCTACGACCGCCAAGAACTAGTGCCGGCAATCAAAGCACACGAGCAGCTTGGGAGGACCGAGAAACTTGGAGAGTGCTCTCGGACCTTCGACCCGAAGTCCACGGATTCGGTTCCTTCGTTACAGTATGGGTCATGGCTTCGAGCCGATGGTAAGGCGGCGCGGGATGGAATCGCCGCTAACCTGGCCATGCGCGTGCTGGCTGATGATGTCTGGACCGGCGACACCAAGCCCAACGGAATCGTCGCGTTCTATGGCGTCGCAGGTGAATCTGGTCTGAGTGGTGATAATCCAGCTGGTGTAGATGCCGAGGATGTAGGCCTCGATGGGGTCGGTACCATGGAGGCGCTTTCGGAAACAGTATCACTCCTACAATTTTGAAACGGAACCGACCCGATCCCTGGCGTCGAGCGGCACCGTGGGCCAGACATCGGCGAGGCGGAGCTCTCCGTGATACACTTCATCGCCCGGGCGAAGGCGTACTTGGGCAAAAAGTTCGACAAGTGGGTCGTTTCATCAGTAAACACGGACCTATGGATGATCCTTTTGCTGGCATTGACCACTGGTTGGCTGACGCCTCGTGGCGAGGGGGCGGTTGACGTGACCGTCCAGAAGGTCGTGGGTGGCGAGACCAAGTTCTTGTGAATGAACAGAGTGTTCGTCAGAATCTGCGAACTCCAGAACGGAAGCGAATCCGCGTGGTCGCCTTTGACCTTCAGAAGCTGGAGGCCCACGGACGCCGACAAGGGACGTCTGTTCATCCTCACCTTCCTCGAGTCGGGCTGTGAATACCCCCCTGCAATTTCCGGGCTGCCGTTCGACAAGATGTGGGTGCTCGTCCTGAAGAGCGAGCGGAGGGTCGGAGAGTTTGTTCGACAAGCCGTTCTTCTTCGAGGACCAGGACGGCTCGTGGGCCGTAGATATCGACGAATGCGCGAAACTTTTGGCCACACTGTTGTTCTACAAGGATGAAGCGGCGTTTGGCAGTGCTCATTTAACTCCTCGCCAGCTGCTCGAAAGCGTCCACGGCGGCGTCGAGGACTACGTGAGCTTGATCCGCTACGCCATCCTCCAACTCCCCAAGAAGAAGACGACAGCCACCTGTCCGTCTTATTTTGCCTTACGCATGCAGGTAGAACGGGGTAACGCCATCTTCAGGTACTGGCAGAATGCCCTGAGGGAGACCATGCTGGCGACCCAGTGAGTTTGCCGGCAAAGGATGGGGCGTCGACCCACGAGGAAAGGGGAGCAACGGCGACGAACTCACAGCCGGGAACTGCGTGCTTTGGTTGTCCGAGTATTCGTATATCGGCCCTGACCGAAAGACAGTCACGTTGGCGTGCGGTTGCAATCCGGATACAGCCCTGTGCAACAGTGCAACAGGTGCAGGTGCAAGGACAGGAAGTGCTCGCTCGCTTGCGGCTGCAGAGGTCGTTGCACCCTCCGTCGGGCGGTGCCGGCACCCGTGCGAGCAGGGGGGATGTCTGCGTCCCGTCCTACGATGGATGCTTCTCAAACCGGGCCGATCGAGGGTGTCGCCCGACCCCAACCACCTATCGACACTCGACCACGGCTATCCGGGAGTGTTGCCAACGCCATGGCACTCTTTGCCGCCTCGATGAAGCAGCAGAAATCGCACGGAGCGGAACAGAACGACGAGGAGACGGGGACTACGGAGTCACCTGCGAGCAACGGCGTTCCCTCTNCGGAGCGGAACAGAACGACGAGGAGACGGGGACTACGGAGTCACCTGCGAGCAACGGCGTTTCCTCCGGCGAGGCCGCGGATTCGGAGAACGAAGAGCTGGAGGGCCCTGAGTCGGACGAGAACAGCGACGGTTCGGTCGGTGCACTCGACGACTTGATCAAGTTGGATTCCGACGAATCTGGCTCCATCGATGGGGAATCTGACGTGTTGAGCGAGAAGAGCGTCGACCGGGCCTGGAGTGGGAGACACAGATGATGGTGTTGGGATCTCGTACTCACATTTCGCGCGTCGTTGGTGGTGGTTGAACAGGCCCGTGCTTCACTTCCGTTGGATGCATCCGTCCATCAAATACGACAACCGGGGGGCACGAGATTTCAGACGTAGGAACAGAAGCCTAACGCTGACCAGCCGGCTAGAGCGCACGTTTTCGCCCGGCCAATTATCGGAACTACTTGCGCAGGGAGACGGACGGACGGACGGACGGACGGGGGGGTGTACTCATAGTCGTGCATGCCGTAGTCGTTAGACCATTGACCTCGCATCCCTACAAAGCCGGGACGGAGCACGCCGGGT